TTTGACCTGTTGGGGACAGGAAGGCAGAGAAGAATGAAAACCTGAAGAAGCAGAGAAACGTACAGGGTAGGTGTGTATTAGCTTGTCTCTGTCACAGAAAGAAAAGCAATGACACTTCTTCCAGTCTCTGAAATGGTAAAGGGCTGGAAGCAGACAAATGCACAAGATTGAACAAGGTGCTTACTTTTATTTTTATTATTAAAAGTAAACTCTTTTGTCATGACTGGTTTGGATTTTGGGGTTTTTTTTCTTCAGTACAAGACTCTCTGTGTCATATCCTTCATCAAGACATGGCTTAGCTAGCATTTTGTCGCAACTTTAAATGTACACTGAAGCTTCTCCAAGGAGGCTTTCATGGTCTCTGTCTCTATGCCCATATCTGAGTAGGTCAGAGATCAGAGAAATGCTGCCATTAGCACAATATCTTACTGTAATAGTCAGCTATATGAATTTGACAGCTCATCCTGCACCACAGGGGAGGGGAGAGGGAAATCACTGTAATAGCAGAGCTGAAACTTTGCCTGACTGTTGGGTTTTTTGCTTGCTTTTTTAGGTGAAACATGGAACCCATTGAAGTTGCACTACCAACTACGAAATGTCCGTGAACGGTTGGCTAAAAATCTAGTAGAAAAAGGTGTACTGACAACAGAGAAACAGAACTTCCTTCTTTTTGACATGACTACGCACCCTCTCACCAACAACAATATCAAACAGCGCCTCATCAAGAAGGTTCAAGAAGCAGTTCTTGACAAATGGGTGAATGACCCTCACCGCATGGACAAGCGCTTGCTGGCACTGGTTTATTTAGCCCATGCTTCAGATGTTCTGGAGAACGCTTTTGCCCCACTTTTGGATGAGCAGTATGATTTAGCCACAAAGAGAGTGCGACAGCTTCTGGATTTAGACCCTGAGGTTGAATGTATGAAAGCCAACACGAATGAGATTCTGTGGGCTGTTGTAGCAGCTTTCACAAAATAACTGCATTCAGACTGAAGTGTTCTCTCTTCTGTCATGTAAACCAGTTGTTTCTCTTCTATTGACTATTCATGTTTTCTGTAATTTGTACCTTCTCACATAATGAATCGGCTTTTGTTTAATGGGAATTAAAAGTGGTGTATTCCCTCCTTCTCTGTGTATCTGTATACAGGATTCTGCTGGTACAAGAGATCTTCCTGTAAAAACAACAGAAAAAGGTTTTACTGCCATATTGGCATTCCATTTCCTATTCAGTTTGAGTTATCTGGAATACTTTGTTTAATCTATTTTTCATCTTATTGTTGAAGCGGTTTAACATGGAAAGTACCTCAAGGAGGAAATGTGCATGCAGTTGGACCACTAATCTCAGTTGACACATATGTGTGCATGCATCGATACTTCCGCAGTGCAGTTAATAACAGATTAAAAAAGGCCTTTTTAAATCACCAAAGCTCCATGTTGAAGTGTCTGTCAGGACATTTTCTACCCAGATGTTGTTTCGATTATATCTAACAAAATTACTTTAAAAGCAGAAATGCCATTAAGCAGCTTTGTCAATAGTTCCTGTAAAATACTCCATAAGTTTTACTTTTCATGCAAGTCTCTTGTGTACTTATATTTTCATTAGAACGATAGCTGAGTCATAAGGCTAGTATAGAAAGGTCCAGTTGTTTCATAAACCAGTTTTGGGATGGGATACATTCCATTATATTGTATATAGAGTTCAAATTGTATATTAACAACTGCCCCATCTTAGTATTTTGCAAGATCTACTTAGTTGTACACCTGGTGCCCCTTACTTGCTGTCAGCCGTTGCCATTCAATGGAAAGAGAGGCCTCCTGTAAAGAGCATGTATGTGAAAGCTGTTTGTTTCCAGTGTCTACAGAGTTTGCCACCCAGGTATTCAAAGTCTATGCATTGCCTTTGATAATTAGTGTGTGGAAAGAGACCGCTTTCTATCGTCGTTTGTACTTCTTCGTCCCCACCCTGTATGGAAGAGGCTCGTGACCAGTACAATTCTTGAGTGCCGTTTTTAATTTTGTACACAAATTAATGTTTGTCTCTTAAACCTCATAGTCTATTTTACACTTTAAAAACAAACAAAAAAATTCAGTCCTTGCATGTAAATGGTTAGCAAGTAATGACTGCAGTTCAGACGGTTAGGATTTCTGTAATGGGACACTCTGCTATATTTTAACTTTTTATATACAATTATGTTGATTAGCACACTGTTGTAAAGAAATATATAAAAAACTTTGGCTTTTAAAAATTTATTGCCTCTTTGCCACTGCTTGTTATCTCCCATTGGTTTCACAGTGTAAATATTATGCATTGAAAAATTTAAACATTGATTTATATATATTTTTCCTCATAACAATGCAGATTTATAGTGGGGCTTACAGGTGTTTAGAAACTCTTTTTGGTTAATATTCAGAGCAAGAATACTAGATGGTGTATAACTGTAGAGTTGAAATTTAAGGGATCCCTTAATCTGTATACTAGCTTTTTACCTACAGTAAATAAACTATGATCTTGAAAGTGCCTGAAACAGAGCAAGCATGTCATTTTTATTTTCATTTTTTGTTGCTAACTAGAAAGATTTTATTGCTTAACTGAAAGCTTTAGTTAATATCCTTACCAGAAAGGCAGAGTTTATATTAAGTAGATCAAACTGATGTAATCAGCGGTGTCACTCAGATTCGCAGGATTCAAGGCTGAGACTGAGTTAGCTTGTGAGCGTGCAGCTGTGCCTGCAATGGTTAGACCTCTTCTATCTTGAGCACAACTCTACAGCCTCATCTGTGACTGGACTTCCAGTTTTGCACTTCATTTTCAATCATTTAGATGCTTAAGTAGTTGACTTTAAAATACAGCTTAAATTCGTCATACCTGTATAACCTTTTTTTTAATAAAGGTTTTTAAAATATGGTCCTTAACATTTAATGGCACACTGTCTTTCAGTTCTTAAGTACTGTTTCTTTAGAAAAATGGAATTAAAAGTATGTTGTAAAATATTTCAAACTGGTTTACAAATAAAAAGACAAACAGTGTTCTGTCAGTTGTAAGATGCTGTGTTTAAAAGTTTGAGGAGCTTGGGCATGAACTTTGGACATTTTCTTTTAAACATTTCAAAACGTGATTGCTTGAAGTGGAGGAAAAATGAAAGTCACCATGTTGCTCTTATATGTGACAGCTTATAGAATACTTTCTGTGCTTGATGGTATATGCTAGCTAACTCACTGCCTTCATTGTCTCACTCTTGTTTTCTTCCAAGGGAGCTTCCTTTCTCTCACTCTTGTTTTCTCATTTTATGTTGCTCTTTGAGAGGAGAGAAAAGTAATTAGGTGGAAAGGTCAGAAAAATAGTGGAGTATTCAGGAGCAAGTTAAGTGCACAAAACTTTTAAAATGGCTTTGAAAAATCTAAGCTACTTGAAACACACTTCAGAATGAAAGTGTCTTTCATAGTCCCTTTTCTGCCCTCTCATCTTCATTCTGCGAGTATTTTCCATGTTCCTGTTGGTTTCGTGTTAGGTTGTGGAGGATAGTGGGATTTTGTCACCCTTAGCAGCAAACACAGTTTAAAAGAAGTCACCCTTTAATTCCCTCCAGAAGGAAGTTGGTTTGTTTGGTCAGCTTTTCTCCCTGTCCCCATTCTGCCTCCCCCCTGTCCCCCGATAACTGCCTATAGTATTTATCAGCTTTATTTTGCTTAAAGATAGAAGCTCTGTTTGTCATGGGGAGAGTTTTTATGGGGTGCATCAAAGAACTTTGATGCAAGTCATCAAGGCTTTGTGAAGAACGACAGTGTGTTTTGCTAGACTGCTGGTGTAAGCCTGGATGTGCAGGGGAAACAGATGAGCTTTTGGGGTCTTGAGTCCTGTGTTGTGGTTTAAAAAACCCAAAGCCTCAGGATTGCTACCAGACCTTGCACCTAACAAGGAAGGTAAGTTTGGTAGGTTAACAGGGACTGATTTAGCAAGCATCCTTGCCTTTGTTGCTATTTCAGGTTCTCATAGAATGGTTAAACATGGGAGATTGCTTTGTTCTGCTGAGAATCAGGTACCCTTCTTCCTATTAGCTGCTACTGCAGCTCACAGAGACCTGGAGGCCTGGGTCTAAGACACTTCTGGCTGCTCCAAGCCCTCAGCTCTCAGTGGCTGCTTGAAGTGAAGACTGCTATCTGTAGCCTGAACTTGAACATGTGCCTCAAGAAAGAACATATTCAGGGATGCATTTTTTTAAAAACAAACTCTCAAGTTAATGTCAAAAACAGGATTTTGAAAGTTAAATCCCCAAGCAGTATATATACAGTTTTACAGTCCTTAAGATTTACAGCCTCCTCTCCTGTGCTTTCAGAGGTGATGTTATAGCGTTCCTGTATGGGATCCTAGTGAAGCCTGTGTGCCATACATGATGCTTTCGAGGTGAAAGTCGCATAAATTGGCTATAAAAGGCTGGTGACTGAGTGCTCATGTGTTCATGCCCATTTCTCCTACACAGTGAAGATATGTATTAACTAATGTGTTCTCTGTGAACTGGACTGAATCTGTAATGAAACAAAATAAAGCACTCTTTCAAGCTGTGAGCTGCACATGGTTACTGTGTATCACATGCATGCAATACCTAAAGGATTTTTTTATTTTTATTTTTTAAAAAAAATGCTGAGTAATTTCCAGTTTTTCCTGAGGCTCTGGTCTTCACCAGTTTGGGAAACTTTTAAGATTTCCATCAAAGCCTCAGTTCTGCCTCTTCTAGGCTTCAGGCAGTTCAGGTAGTCAGAGCCTGTTATCTCCTAGTTTCCCCTGTTGTCCATCTGTCCTATACGGAAGGGGGCTTACAGCTTCAGAGAAGTACAAATTTCTTGAAAAACTAACTCATTTATTCTGTGGTAATACTTAATGCATACAGCAGTTTAATTACTCAGGAAATGAGACGCTGTCAAGTGCTTTTTAAGTGCCAAATACAAAGTGTGACTTCAGGTGTGTGTAGGAGGGGAGGATCTTTGGATGGGGAAGAAGCATGGTCAGACCTGCTGCCTGTGTTAATCTGAATGAGATCTGGAGTTTCCTCCCACTGGGTCTTGTTTTCTCTTGCCTACAGCAGCACTGAGCCTGTACAAATCTGATGGTAGGAAATCAGAATCTGATTTGAGTCAAGGAGGAGAAAGCTGCTGTAGAAGGAGTGAGAAGAAAAGCTGCTTCCTAAGACAGCAGAAAGCAATAGGGGAGGAAATGCTGATGAGTAGTAGCCCTTGGCTTTCCCCCCAACACACACCTTTCTGTACTTCCAAACAATTAGCTAGTTTGGTTTTTTTCTCTCTACTTTGGCCCCTGGTCTTTGTTTCTTCTCTTTTCTCTGTTGCTTGCTGACTTCCTCGTTTGTGCTCATGAAGGAGTTGTACTGATTTCCAACCTTAGGTGCTTCCACTCTTGCTTTTTTCTTACTAATCTTTATTTGCTTTCACTTTTTACAGTCAACTTGAGTTTGACTTTCCATTACCCTGTCCTCGGAGTCGCTTTCCCCTCCGCTTTGTTTCCCTGCTGATGCCTCAGGGAAGCTCCTCTTTTTCAACCAATACGTTTGTCGATACTGGCTGCCTCGGTGGCTGAACTGAAACAGTTGGGCCGCCTGCTACGGCTTGTAACACTTGGTTTGTGAAGGTGAACAAAAACTGATGCCGATTTGCCTCGAAACTGCTCTTTACCTGCTTCAAAAGCAAGCTGTTGTCCATGCAGCAGAGAGAACTTGCAGCTGAGGATCATGATTTTGCCAGTTCTCTGATGTAAGTAGATCTTGTTCCTGAGCCAGTGTTTTAAGGACTTGCTGTCTCTTACTCAACCTTTTCCTACAGTGAGAACATGATATACAACAGTAATTTTCCCTTTTGGACTCTCTGCTTGTTAAAAAGGAGCTGAGTTTGTGTTGCAGCTCAAAAAAAAAAAATCTCCATTTGGCCATGTATTTTTATGGAAGTTGTAGATGCTTAAGTTATTTGGAAGGTTTCTTTACTTCTATTTAATTTGATTAAAAGGGACAAGTAGGAAAAGTTTAAAATTTTTGCTTTCTTGACGCTCAGTACTTCATTTCCTTCCCACTGCTCAGACAGGATTTTTCCAAGCAGAAGTCTTGCAGTAACCCACTTCAACTGTGACAGTAGGCAGAGCCATTGATGGAGAAGTCATGCTGGTACTTGAACTAAGACTGGTCCAGGGAAGCTTCCTCTCCTGGAAAGGTCTGAGATTCCCAAGGCTGTTAATCTTATGCAATATTCTTAATGACATTTTGAAAAGATCTTGTGTGGATACATGCTTCATTACTCTCTTGCCCCCTGGTGAAAGTGGAGTTGGCCATAGGCCAAAGAGTAGGAAGACTTGCTGCCTCCTGGGTGATGTGGGACCTGCTCTCCATCCAGGCAGGCCATGAACTGTAATAGCCACGACAGACCTGAGCCATCATCTTCTGGAGGTTGCTTATGTGTGCCCAGGGGACCTTCTGAGTTGAAGGGTTTCTCTGGGCATGGCAAAGGAGACTGGAGAGCTGTGCATTGAGGGGTCTGGTTCATGCCCACTGGTCCATACGCTGCAGATGTGTCTGGGGCTGTGCTTGTGCCTGCATGGGAGAGGGAAGAGCCAGCTCTTCACAAAGGTTTCAGTCATCCAGGAAAACATCACGTCATGTGCGTGAACGGTTGTACTTGAAACAAGGGAGTGCGTGTGACCTTCCTTAGACTGGAATATGTATAAATAAAACAGGCCTGAAATAAAATGCAATTATAAACACATTTGAAATAACAACTGAGGTCTGGTTTTTGGATGCATTGCAAACAGGAAATGGAGATAAATTCAATGCATTAATAAATGCCTTGCTGCAAATACATTGTATGATGTTAAGCACTAGCTATTGAGAGCTTCCTTCTGAGATATAACCAAAGATTTACATGCATTTTAATATACCCAATTCTGAGACGCTCAGCCAAAGCCAT